GATAACGTGTCGTCATATAAAGAGTGCCCCATTTATGACCTCTAGCCACTACCATTGAACCTTTCCTAACTCTCCAGGCTCCACCACCAAAGTTGACATCATGCCCCGTATCATCAAGTTAACCTAGTGAGATCAAATTTCGCATCAAGTTTGGCACATGTCTAACCTTTGTAATCTTCCACACATGTCCATCTGACATCTTCAGGTTGATATCTCCAATACCAATGATGTCTAAAGGTAATCCATCTGCAAGATATACCTTTCCGTAATTTTCCACAACGTAGTTCTCCATAATGTTGTGGTGTGGTGTTGTGTGGAATGATGCTCCTGAGTCAATAACCCATGAATCAACTGGGCTATCAACATAGGAGATTGACGCTTTGGTGGTGTTTGCAGTGACATCACGAGCATTATTTTTTCTCGGGGAATCAACAGACACTACCAATGCATTAGCTATTTCACGTGTCACTGCATTGGCTCCGCCTCCCTTGTTGTCTTCTTTCTTCGGTGGTGCCCGACAATTTCTCTTAATGTGGCCTGTCTTTCCACAATTCCAGCAGTCAGTAGGCTGTCTGAATTTGGACTGCCCCGTCCATTCCTTGACTTTGATCTTCCTCTGCTTCGATTACTTCTGTCTTGGTTTCTACTTCTGTTTTCCACATTGAAAGCAGAACTCATTGATGTCTCGCCAGAATCTATCCTACGAACTTCCTCAGCAAGGATACGATCTCTATCATCATTGAACTTAAGCTTCTGAGTACCCACATAATTGCTAACTATTGCCCTCATTGGTTCCCAACTATTTGGTAGATATGCCAGCAGAATTAAAGCACACACCTCATCATCAAACTCGATTTCAACCGATGACAGTTGGTTGACAAGCGTGTTGAACTCATTCACGTGCGCTGCTACAAGACTACCCTCTTCCATTTTCAATTGGAAGAGCTTCTTCATGAGAAATATCTTATTGTTGGCAGAAGGTTTCTCATACGTATCCGAGAGAACTTTCATGAGTGCTTCCGTGGTCTTCTCCTTCGCAACGTTGTGAGCAACGTTTTCCGCCAGTGTTAATTTAATAACACCGAGAACTTATCTGTCGAGAAGATTCCACTCTTCCTGAGCCATCTTTTTAGTCTTCTTGCTGAGTGGTTGATGGAGCTTCTTTCTATACAGATAATCTTCAATTTGCATTCTCCAAAATGCATAATATGTACCGTCAGATTTCCTGATACTATGTGCAGAACCATCTTCGCCTCCCATCATTTCTGGTTATTTTGCAAACCACCGTGTATTATAACACCTTCGACGATAAACCAATGTTACCGACAAAATTTGACCACAAACCTTAACCTCACTCTGATACCAGTTGTTAGGAAATGAGCGGTCAAATTTGGAAATGATTACGAAAACACACACACGATTTGTTAACGGAGTTCGACCAATTTGTGCCTACGTCTCCGGATCTGCTGCAGATCTTTTATTAATCACTGGTTATCCGTCGTGAACTGTAATTCCGACATGAACAGTACCTCCGCCGTGAACAGTATTTCTGACAGGAACAGTAATTCCGTCGTGAACAATACGTCGACGGAATTACAATACTCTCAACTCACTCACCCAAACCCAATTACACTCAAAGAAAACAACTCTCTTTCACAAAGAAAAATAAA